TAACTTGGTCTTTTTTGTTGGTAGAATATAAAAGGAAATATGAAATGCAATTATCATTCTATGATTATGCAAATAAGTGAAATAATTATTGTCAAATCAAAAGTCCAGAATTCAAATGCTCCTTTAAATAATAATAATAAAAATAATTTGTAATTGATATAAAGCCTAGTTCTACCGGCTAGAGTAGTTCTTTCTACTTCCCATAAGGCCTGGGTCAGTTTTTCTTGCTGACTTCATTATGACAATATACACAAATATGTTTTTATTTTGATCTTTTATTTTTTTAGCTTGTTTTGTTTTCTCAGTCACCTGTATGTAACTTAATTCCTAGAAGTTCTTTGATGTATGCCTTTGATATGGCTTGTTCTGACCAAGTTCCTTATGGAAACTTCCTCTGCCATGTCATTGCCAGTGGACAAAAAGAATAGCTTTACTGACCTCAATATATCTTGAGAAGAGATTGCTATTAAATGTTTGTTGAACATATATTTACAATGATTTGTTGTGAAATTGATGACACTTAAGCAAAATTTTCAAGGACATCTATTATCCCTTTTAGGTATTGTTCAACCAATACCTAAACGAAATATCAGCTACCAATTTGTAGGTTGCAATGAGGGGCACATTTTTCCCCTGTCTCTCCATCCCTCATCCTTATGGACCACTGTAGATACTCTCTTACTAAAAACGTTCAGGATCCTTCCAGAGGGAACTTGTTTATAATTCTAGTGTTGCTGAGCACACCCTTAGGTTACATTCGGTCTGAACAGAGTTATTTTGGCTGTGTCAGTTGAACACATGAGATGACGGAGACAACGCAGCAGTAAAGGACAACACGGACTGTCTCAGACCCAGCACCAGACATGCTGCATAACACACTTTCTCTTTCTCCCACTTTTTCTCTTCCTCGAGTAAATGATTTCTGTAGTCCTTCTCCCTGACTAGGAACCCAGATCTACTTTTTGATCTTTTTCCTCAATCTGAATTACTAAAGTCTAAATTTTATCTGAACATTTTGGTCCTTTCTTGTCTCCAGTACTGGCTAGGAAAAGATGCCAGAGGACAAGATGCCACTACACTAGGTCTCATCTTAATCACGGTGTCTGCATTAATGACGGATAAGACTTAATATGCTTTCCAATACTTGTTAGCATTAACTGTTACAACTTTGGGAAGTCCTTTACCTGTCCGCTATGCATCTTTCCAGCTTGACTTCAGCAATGCCCAGTGGTAATAAGTTAGGTTAAGTACAAAATATGCAAAGATGCTCTCTTTTTCAATCAACTCTGTATTCACCGTGTTTTAATTCCACCAAACTCCTTACTGTTTTGTTGTGCAAAACCAGCAATCTGCCCATATACTTTGGCATCTTATATTTTCTATTTCTGGCTGACAAGAACTCATAAATTTTTCTTGTTCCAAGTATATCTACCTTTCCAAGGGCTTCTGGGCAACTCTGCAGTCTGTATCCCATTATCCCTCAATATACTGAACACAGTAGGGCAGCTACAGAATAGAAGAAACTGCTGCTTTTTGCATGCATTACAGTTTTAATCAGGCTCTTCAGTTCTATGCTCAGATGCTTCAGAAATCTACCACATATGAATTCTTCCATGATTTACAAAGGAGGCACATATTCTAAGTATAGATAGTAATGCACCATTTAAATGATAATACCAAGATGTTTTGTATGGGGAGGACATTCATGCAGGGCATTTTTACCATGAACAGCTCTTTCATAGGGCTATCTATCCTCACACCAGATGTCAAATACAAAAAGAAATACTTTGGCATGAATAACAAAGTTCATTTGACTGAAGGATTTACCTCCTAGGAACAAGAGGCTCATAAAACGTAAACATTGGGAGCAAAGTGAGCCACGTAAGGGCTTTTGCAAAAATTAAACCCATAACTTGCCACTAGAAATGGGATATTTCATCTGTTCAATAAGCACTAAAAGTTCTCTTTGTTTTTATGGCATCGTAATCTTTGATTACTCTGATAAATATTTGGACTATACAAAACATCGCAATGGAACTAATCGCAGTTATAAAAAAACTATGTCTGAAAATGAATTGGGAATGCAATGATACCAGCACATTTTAGAGAAGTTCAAACACAGAACCACATTATTTTAACTGGCTCCCAGCCTCACTCTTTTATGTCTCCATGTAGTCATTTACACCTGAGGAAAACAGTTGTGAAAGTTGTTATGCTTGCTGGCTTTGCAGAAGCATGAACAGGTAACTGTACCAGACATGGAACACCAGCCTTGCTCTGTATGACTGGGCGAACCCAAACCACACAACTGAACAGTAGCAAATTTTAGCAAAAACCCATGGTCTTGCATTGAAGATTAGGTCTCTCTATGCTGAAGTCTATTTGTGGAATTCGTGCTCTCATGCACAACAACTGTGTATAAAACAGCCTTTGTCCCAAGAGGGAGATCTTTCCTTCCCCTTCCTTTCAACTCACCCAATGTTTCCCTTTGTTTTGGTTTTATTGCTCAGACAACAGACTGGAACACCATACTGCTGGAAGATTATGCGCATAATCTTACTCCACTCTTTGTTTAAAATTAGAGATCTCTCCATACTTATTACAGTAGTCTGAATGCATGTAAGGTTGCAGAAAGGGTCTAGACATGTCTGTATTGTTTCGTAGTGTAAAGACTATTCAGTGCTATTTATTCTTTTATGGTAGGAGAGGGAATCCCTCTCTCCTTCAGAGCACCATGCACCATTCAGATGCCAGGGCCTATATTCTGCCCACAGCTGAGCTGGAGAAGATCTGTAGTCAAGGACAGCAACTCAAAAAGAGCTTTCCAATACCTAGAACTGCTTTTTATAATTCAACATAAGAAAAATGATCAGACTTCTTTGGGGGCTAGAAAAAAGCAACATGATTACTTTCAAAAGCAAAAAGTTTTTCTCTACCTCATTGTTTTCTGAGCAGATGCCTTAATGTAAATAAAGTTCAAGTGCAAATCATGTCAGATAAGAAAGTAATTCCAGTGGTGAAAATCACGCCCAGTATAGCACCAGCAACATTTATGAAGTGGTAACAAGAATATATTTGAATCAATGGGCTGCATATTTATAACACTGATGAGATAGTGTCACGTACTGTCAAATACTTTTTAAGATATTACTCCTAACAGCTGAAGTCTGCCTTTGGTTCCAGCAGACTAAACCCAGAATAACTGAACCAAAGCCAATGGAGATACTTCAGACATAACTGATTGGAACAAAGAACGTGAACTTGCACTTAGTGTTTATATAGTCCTTTCCATCTTCAGAGAGCATCACAAACATTAGCTAGTGCTAATTCTCTCACAATGACCTTCACGCTAACCCTTTGGGATAAAACTAATCTAATATAAGAAAAAACCTGACAAGATATATAATCAAGCATACACCAAGCCTCGGATGTGTAAACTATCTCTGCCTTGACCTCTGTGTCTGCCTCATGGCAGATTTTATCTCATCAAGAATATAAGGCCTTTCACCATGGCTCAGGTATTAGTTCACCATACAATGTATTTTATTAACATAAGATGATGATAATAATCCTTGAATAATGTATTTACTATCACAGTTACAGGATGCAGCTTTTCTTTTTTAACAGATATCATGGTTTAACCCCAGCTGGCAACTAACCCCCACACAGCCACTTGCTCACTCCCCGCCCCTCTGTGGTATGGGGGAGGGAATCGTAAGAGTAAAAGTGACAAAACTTGTGAGCTGACATAAAGACAGATTAATAGGCCAGAAAAGTAAGAAAAATAATAATAATAATAATAATGGTAACAATAATACTACCGCTAAAAGAATTAGAATACACAAAACAAGTGATGCACAATGCAATTTCTCCCCACTCACCAACCAATGCCCAGCCAGTTCCCGAACAGCGGCCCCCGGCCAGCTTTCCCCCCAGTTTATATGCTGAGCATGACGTCATATGGTATGGGATACCCCTGTGGTCAGTTGGGGTCAGCTGTCCCGGCTGTGTCCCCTTCCAACCTCTTGTGCCCCTTCAGCCTTCTCGCTGGCAGGGCATGAGGAGCTGAAAAGTCTTTGACTTCCTATAAACACTACTTAGCAACAACTAAAACATCGGTGTGTTATCAACATTATTCTCATACTAAATCCAAACCACAGCACTGTACCAGCTACTAGGAAGAAAATTAACTCTATCCCAGGTGAAACCAGGACAACAGATAAGGAGTTCAAAGTAATACTGCACCAAAAAAAATTGCTGGAAGCTGTCACAGGATAAGTCAGGGACACATCTAGGTTAGATGTTGGGATTCCATGGCTTTGAATTCCTACTATTCAGTCATTCTGGGATTTTTTTTTTGCTTCTTCCAATTAAAATTAGGAGTGTTGTAAGTCTCTTTTAGAAAGCTTTCTCAGAAGCAGCAGAAGCTTCCTTTACTTATTGGCTCTCTCTGCCCTCCAAGCCAGACTTGTAATTTGATTATCAATTCTGGGTGGCTCTAAGCCCAGAATCTTGAACAAGTTCCTCATGTTCCAGTTGCTTGCATGCTTTATACAGAGGAATAGATTGAAGCAGACAGTACTCATTTTCATGGTGACCCAGAACAACTATTGTTACAAGAACACCTTTAATCTCCTGTTTCTGCTTTTGAATTGAATTCAAGTGGAGAGAGATGAAAGAAAGCGTCTCACAAATCTGCTACTACAGCTGGTACTTCTTAGTTTATCATATGCTAGCTCTAATTCTCTTTGATTCTTCTTAAAATTATTGCTTCTACTTCTCAATTTGACAACCAGGCATTCGTTGCTATTTTTTGACTATGAAAAAACCCTCCCCTCCCTCTTTCTTATAGCTACTTCCACAGGAAAAATAACCCCAAACTTACTGCATTATGATATCAACGTATGAATTTAACTTCTGCCTTAGTAGGTTGTCTTATGCAGCGTACAAATAAGCAGCTAAATAATACTTCATTACTTATAGTTCAGGAAAAGACTTACAAAATAAACTGAAGAGTGAAAGAAGGATCAGGGTCATGCTGATATGAAGGGCATCAGTTGCACTGCAGTCCATTTTGGACTTCTTGCAGGAGCACACTTGCAGTTTCAGTTCTGTGTTGTTAGTCAGAGGTGGTTTTCCAGAATCTGTCACTGAGATTGGGATGTTGTAATTGGCCTTTTTCAGGTTTTGAAGCAGGATGACCTGGGCATGAGTATCTGCAAAGGATAAGGTGAGAATTAGCCAAATAGCGGTTGTCTGGAAGGGAAGAGAAATCTGCAAACAATATCAGACATGCCACAGTTACTCGTGGAAATGAAGAAGAAAATGAGAACACTCTAAAGAAAAGATTAAATAATTGAACTGGAGATAAGAAGAGGCAGTACAGAAATTCTTTCATGGGCTAAGAGCTAATTGCAAACTTATTCCAAACCCCACTAAAAGAAAGACTTTAAGAGCCCCTTTTGTTTAAATATATTATTTGGTCTGCAAATAATTCGCAGAATTCACCTGTGGAAACTAACTTTCTAAGGCACATCATACCCAAAGCAACACAAGACGGAAGAACTTATCTACTTGCCAAAGGAAAAACCCCCTTCTTTCAAGGAAGAACAGGCAAAGCTGCTTAACTGCTTCCCCAGTTTGACTGAGAAGGCAGTGAAGGGAAGTAATGCCCCTCCAAATCCGCAGATCTTCTCCACCTGAGCAACAGTGGGTCATAACAGCTACTGGTACCCAGGTGAGTGGGCTAACTCTTTTAGGGGGTTTAACAGACTGGTGCTTTGATGTTTGGAGAACAGCAACGAAAATGACTCTTCTACTTTGTCCTGCAGGTAGGTACAGATGTCACATCTATAGTTTTTTTTTTTCTAAGAAGAATATGAAATGAACTGCTATAAGATTTGATAGTGACAGAGATAAATAATATATGCTAGAAAACAAATAGAAATAATCTACATTAAAAAGAAATATAGTATTTTGTGCCCACAATTTGCCATACAAACCTTCTGCAATTGCATAGCATGTGCTTTGTTCCTCTTACCAAAAGCGTACAGTCCCAGTGCATTTGGGTATTTTATTTGTGAAGAGTTCAAATACTTAAAATCAGGAAGTTTTTCAAGTTTTTTGCTAAAGCCCATGCAAAAGTTTCATGCTGTCCTATAGTAAGCCTTGTGCATCTCATGCAAACAAATTCCATGCCATGAAATATGGTAATCTTTACAAAACTGTAAGTCATTAGTAGTCTTTCTGTAATGCAAGGCTAAAAGAAAAGTTTGTTCCATGTAGTAAGAGGAAAAAGTTTGGATTTCAGAGAAAATGCAGACAGACAATTAGTATGTCCCACCAGGCAGCTGGTTGAAGCAAAACCAGCACAGTGTAAAGCAGCAGCAGTGGGTCCATCCTGCAAGGCTTCCATGCACAACTGCTCCTGAATTCACATAATGGGCAGCCTCAGGGTGAGTATACTGAGATGTAAAGGTGAGAGGACTAAATGCATAAGAAAAGAAAGCAATAGACTTACTGTTAATCTTGTTGATTCTCCACAGTTTTTCTGGGCCAGATTGCTTACTCAGTTCAAATTTGAATGGATCTGTGTTGGGATGAAGGTCTTTGTCTGATGCTCCTAGTACCACTACCCTGAGATCTTTTGCATCATCACAAACTTTTGCCAGTGTTGGATAAAGGGATGGGACGTTGTCATTGACATCCTCCAAGGTGATGTGTAAAGTTCCTGTACCTGTAGCGGGAGGGTTACCTATACGAAAAAACAAATATATATGTTTATTAAATCATACTTCCATAAACACTTGCTCTTATTTGTACCTGTGTGCTTGCAAAGGGAAATAATTTTTATAGTTCTTACCTCTGTTATATGAAAATTATTGCTTAAAAAAACCTGATGAGTCACTATTGTAAATTTGCTGTATTTTCAGAATGCAGCCTGTCTGATTCTCTACAGTATGAACAGTTAATTCTAAGGAAACCAGGAAACCTCTGGGAGAGGAATATTTTGAAGTTAAAATGAGATTAGGACATGAATAGGTATCTGGAAAAGAATCTGTCCATAAACACATACCGAGAGAAACATAGCAGGAAACATCCCCTAGATAGACAGCAGAGTATTAAAAGAAACAAGAACAAGACAAGTAAGAGGAAAAATGACAGCAGAGAGGAATCAAGTTGTATGGTGGGTGCCCATAAACAGAACAGGACCAGATCATTCCCCAGCAACCCTTAGGGCCACATGTAGTTATATCAGCAGAAGTGAAACCTGTCAACATGCAACACTGGAAAATGAGATCTTTTATTTACCCAGAGCCACCCTGTGTTAGCAATGGAGTTTCAAGCTTTCTCAAATTATTTGCCAGCCTGCCTCAGCCCTGACCTGAAAGAACCAGCTTCAGAGGTGAGGATGTTGTTTATTCACCATGGTACTGCTACAAGCCTTTGTGCCAAGGCTGTGACTGACAAACCAGCCGTGGCTGGAAGTGTTTGTAACGGAGACGTCTGCCCACCGGGAGCTGGACTGAGACCAGCACCTCATTTCACAGAGGTCAGAGAGGAGCTGACAAGTGGTAATAACTTTCAATCACTACAGACGTGTGCCATGGTTGAGCCAGTAACCTACTGCTGCTTTCAGTCTAAAGCTCAGTATCTTATTACAGGTCCCTTTGCCATCCCATTTTAACTGATCTCAAAGTTTTCTAAATGCATGTTACCTCCTTCATTGTGTACCATGCTTAATAATTTCTCATTTGAAATGCTGCACTTCTGGGTTGCTTGTGTTACTCGTTTTTCTGGTTTAGTACACAAGATCTATGATCTCTGCACTTCCCTTAGCTATAAACCCTTAGCAGGTAAAAAGGATTCAAGAGGTTGCACTTAACCTGTAAAGCACTAGTGTGATGTGTCATGGTAGTTTTAACTTTAGCACTGAAAGAGGTACACTTTAGCATAATCACCCTGCCTATAGCAGCCCAATAAACCATGGAATTATTGCTGCACTGTGAGTGAATCCTAAGGGAGAAATAAATACCCTGTGGTCTGGATCTGATAAACTACTGACTGTAGCAGAATGCAATTAGTCCTTTCAATAACAAATGTTACTAATGGTGACACTTCATCTGTTTCATGCACACATAAATGCATAACAAAGGCAGAGTTTTCATAGTTCTTTAGCTTCCCCCCTGCCTCATCTTGCACTTTGTCACAGAAGGGTTAGGGTTGAGTTCTTTTTAATGAAAAAGAAATTATTTTTCACTTTTTATTGGAGTAATTGAATTTGCAGAAAGACTGCAATACATTTTTTTTGTTCTTGATATATTATTAAGTAAAGTCATATGGCACAATGGATGAAAAGACATTCGAGTATTTGAAATACGATCATAAAAGCCAGCCTTTCATGCACTTAATTAAACTGCTGTCTTTAATTTTGAATGCATTATTTCCACACTGGACTGATAATGTCTTATGCACTGCCCTTCTTATCTTTCTCTGAAGTCAGTAGTATTAAAATCTGCCTTTTGAAATTAAGAAGCCAACAGCATTATGAATGTACTGTTATTTCGTCAAACGTAGATACAGCTGCATTTTCTCTGCAATGCAAATGTTTCACTCTCTTTGTATGGCTTATGGGCCAGTCAACTATTACGCACAAATAGAGAGAAAGGAAATTGCTTCTGTCCATTTCAATGACTTATTCTCTGGTTGGTTTATTTATAATGATTTAAACCAATTCTTTTGGTGATTTATGAAGACCTCCAAAAGAAAAAAAAGCAAATGTCAAGGTCATAAACTGAAGCTTGTTAACACGCATGTCATAAAAAAATACAACAAAAAGTGAATCAAGGAAAAATGGTCACAACATATCCATTGGGAATGTATGACTTTCATAAATTTGTCAGTATTATGCCTTTGAAATAATTCAAAAATCCCATCATCTCCAGACAGCTTTGGTTTTGAAATGAAAGATTTCCACAGCATATTTTAATTCTGAAATAAAACTTCTCTTAATTTGTATTGTAAAACCTTGCAGTTGAAAGCAGAATTAATGTGTAAACCAAGACATAAAGGGCTCTGCCCAACAACCCTTGGGAGCACCTTTTCAAAAGAGCTCTGCTCCCCTTCTTGCCACTGAACTGAATTGGCCATTCCTCCTGAGGCTGAACGCTTTAAACCTTTAGGTGCCTTTAGAGCCATTTGGGATAGAGATAATTCCAAATTCCTGCTAAGGGTCCCACAAGTGGCATAGCCATGACTATAATATCACAGACACATGAATGAAACAGCATTACTCACTCGTGTAAAAGCGACTAAAACAGAGAGAGAAGGATGGCTAATTTCATACTGAAAGAAAATGAAAGCTTGGTATTGAGGCCTGATTTTAATAATCTAGGGCAAGACTGAAAACCTTAACAAGTAATCTTCAATGAGACTGAAATGGAAGTAAGGTCTTTCAAGTTGGTTAAGTTCTGTGGGACCAGAGCTTTGATCAACGACACTGAAATAGTACAGATTCATCTTAGAACATGCTGCAATTGGAAATGTATGATACACTTATCTGAATTGCATCAGGACTGGTAATGGCTTCGTATCCTGGCATTAGACTGCATACAAAGCTTCTAATAGTAGTTCTGCAATAGCTACTGCTGTTGTAAAATGCAACAACTGAAAAATAGACTAACGAAACTAGTTCTGTTTTATGAGTTAGAGAGTGCCATAGAATATGATGGAGTCTATTGTCTGGGAACTAGAATCTGTAATGCAAGGGACTGTCACCAGAAGATGTAGGTGTTAAATTGGATTTTAGAGCTATCAGTATAAATGACCATGTTGCTACCTTTAGTTAAAAAAAAAAACAGTTTCAAAAGAAATATTATAGAAACATACTTTGTATATTTCTGTATACTTGAATTTTAATGAAAAGCCATGCAGAATCATATTAGAATTATTAGAGTAAAATCTGAAATTATAAGACCTCTGTAAGAACACACAGCCAAGAAATTTGAAAAATGGCATTCATTTTTGGTCCAAAAAGTTCCCATAGGAACAATGATGGCATTTAGACATCTAACGACTGAAATGAGAGTGCCAATCAGGTAGTTAGTTTCTTAAAAGACACCAGTTACGCACAATGATGGCCATGGACTAAGATGACATTTCTCTTAAGTATCAAGACTTGTATAAAATGGCACATCTAACAAGCAATCATATGGTTGAATGGCTGATGATGCATTTAATCTGAGCATAACATTTTTATGGACATGAAGAGCCATTTCATGTTCCACTTTCTAGTTTTTATACAGAAATGTGATGCTGTTGTGTACAGATTTCTAATATGGCTGAGATGTGCTCCGTGAAATTAAAGACAGTATCTGGACTGCTTTGAAACTGAATTAAGAGATTCCTAATCAGCTCACATTGAAATACCAACAACTTTCATCTATTTGAAATGACAGCAGAAATACAGAGTTAGGAATCACCAGACAGCAGGTGAGCTTTTCTGCTATGTCTCATACAATAAGAAGCCAAAACCTCCTAAAAAGTCAGTGAAAGTTGAGATTTTTAGGGGTATCCAAAGAAAAACTCATAACGTGACCGAAGGTTGCCTACACATCATCCTATTTCTTTGCACAATGTAAACACACCTGCACTTCTATCTTGTCTTCCTACTATTAGCATCATAAAAGACTGATAGAAGGATCCACACTGCATGAGTGTCCACAGCCATGTCTCAATGGTTCACCACATCTTGCACAGGCATACCTACAGAAGCTTTAAAATACTCAATGCAGATGCTAATAACTATGTAGCCTCAAATCATTAATATGAAAGTTGTTTTTATATGTTTTAACTCCAAGTGTGACTTTCATGGAGCATTTTGAGTTTATACTTTTTTTACACTTAATGCTAAAGAAGCCTTGGGGAACACAATGCTGGCTACACTGGTATCTGGGCCATGTCAGCTGGCTACTATCACATTCTGTAGTGGTTTTTTTCCCACTAACTGAGCGCTATCAATAACAGAAACAGTGGAAGAACAATTTAGGCCCTTCACTGTTGGAATCACAACAGTTACTGTGTTTAGACCGTATATTCTCTTCTAGGAGTTGAGCTGAGCATGAGGGTAGTTAAAAGTAGCCATCCATCTAGACTAAATTGCCAGTGTGTACTTACAGAAGCTGGTCAGAAACATTGTTCTGAACTGGTAGAGCATTTTCAAGATGGAAGGGTTGTTTAAATGCATCTCAAAAAGAAAATAAGTCATGAAGATTTAATTCTTTTCTTCCAGCTTTCCATTTCCAATTTTCAGCAAATCTCAAGATTAGCCTAAATGACCATGATTACATTTTCCAAGCATTCAAAAACGTACTCAGAACTTAGAAAATGAACAGATTTGGACATTTAAGATTACAATGAGTTTAGAATGTCCTTGAAAATGAAGTTGCATATTCCCTAAAGCAGTGGAAAGATTCTTAACAACATATCCAACTAAAGCAATTGTTGAACATTGCTGCTTAAAACATAAAATCATATTCTTTGGTTAACAAACCACCCAAAATCAAAGAATTAAACTGATGTTGTCCATCCTACCTTGAGTTTTCTGAGTTCTGAAATTTTTAAACCCCTCTTTGGAATAACTGAAGTGTATTTTTTTCTTTTAGGATTACGTATTTAAGATTTAAAGGATATTATAAACTAAATTATATATATTGAGATAGATAATATTTATATACTAATACATAAATACATAAT